GGAGATACCCATTTTGGGAAATAATTGGAAAAGTTGGTTCAGTTCTGTTCGCTAACGTTCTTTGGCAAAGTGCTGCTTTCTGATTCGACTTGCAGGTTGTAGGCAGAATTTTGTATGTGAAAGACGGGATGGTTGCTCTCAATGAACCATAACCCCTGAATATACCTTTTGACGATAGTCTGGTGTATGAAGTGTTTCATCAATTTTTCGATGTAATAGGATATCCTGGAATGGGAGTTGTCCACGAGCCTCCGTTTGCTGAATTAATTTCTGGCAGTGAACCCACCCCCGGGATCTGCCTATTTCTGAGTACATTTGCCTCAGACGTGGCTGGTGGGACGACATCGTGTCACCTTCGTCCAGTAATTAAAAAGATAGTCTAGTTGAGGTTATGAGTTTGTTTTATTCTTCAGTCCGTTTTCTGATGGGTACAACTCAAATCACACGATTTTTTCTCGCTTATTCTATTTGGCTGTTTCCTCATGCCCGTCTGCAACCTGCGTCTAGCCAGTGAAATAGGTTCCATCCGGCTTCCGTGAATAACCTTTGTTGGTCGCTAGTACGTGGGGTCCGTCTGAAATGAGCATGGAGGAGAAAAAATCTAGAGTGCAGAGTTTTGCCGATATGCTTAATAGCATAAGCGCCCCTTGTTTGGGTAAAACAAGTGCAGCTGCCGTTTGCTGATTAATCGAGCTTTATTTAAAGTTGACGAACGAACAATGCCTGTAAGTACACTTACAACGGCCGGAAATTTACTTAGCTTTATTCTCTTTTGTACAGGTCATTTAATTTACAGTCTGAACAAACCGAGTTGTCGAGCTACAGTTTGTAATTATTTTCAGTCAACTCACTAATGAGTTACTAAGGTTTTTAATATATTCTTTACTGCCAAACTAAGGTCTTCCTAGGCTTGACCCTAGATCAATTTTTCGTCCTCTTATATCAGAGGCTATATAAGATCACAGAACCTTCAATGTCCAACCCCAATCTGCCTTCTAATCCGTTGCGATAATCACTTTACGGCCTCGTGTTGAATGGCTGATTCGCAGGAGTCAGCTGAACTAATGCCGGAAATTTGCTCCAATCACTCGACATTCCAGGTGGCAGGTTCGATTTGTAATTGATTAATTCAGCATTCCTCTGTATGCCCGTAGCCACCACTGTCAGAACGACAACGTTCAGTCGTTTAGGGACCTCTCGTCGCATATCGCCATTGGATTATGTCAATTATTTGCGAAATCCTGTGTTACGACTGTACATAGTGCTACGTTCCCCAACTAATACTAAGCTATTGAAGCAACTGACCATAAACGTACCGATAGCATTTTTTATGGAATTCTTATCCTTTCTCTCGGACGCACCGACGATGCGCAAAGGATGTTTGCTGGTTTCGTTTCTTGGGACTTCATCTGGCACTTGGTTTCCGGAAATTCGACTGAAGGTGTGATAAAGTGGGGAATACAGAACAAACCTCATTAATGGCTACACACAATCTGTGAATATCAGAAGTTTGAATTTATAAGAAAACAAACACAACTGTAAATAACACAAAAAGGTAACTCCAAACCTTGTAGTAGAACATCCTCGTTCCCCATCCTAATCGATCCGACCTATCAGCTACAGATTGATTAAGTAAACATGTTCAATTTACAAGCAGTGAGTGGTAAACTTTGCATAAATAAAGCCAAAATCTCTAAAAATATTGAGAGGACGCTCCTTCTTTTTCTACGATTGGCAATTTTCGAGCTCCACAGCTTCACTGGGCTCCGACACTGGCGTACGAGGCTTGGGAAATAAACTGAAAATGTCCTGGTGCAAAAGTCAATATGGTGGTAAAACATAGTACGAGAGAATAGCTTTCCAAGAATGGCAGGACGAAGACTTCACACTTACGCTGGAATACGAACACTATTTAGCTACCTTTATTTTTAGCCTTTTACCTAGGCTAAATTCTACTTTTTCAATGCACCTTGGTTACCTAGGCGTTGCAGATACGCTGTTGGGATTGTGAAGTACAAGTCGATGTTTCGAGTCGAGTGATTGAATCGGACAGCCTATTCTTAGGCGATTATAAGTTAGCGAAATAAACGGCGGTGTGCGTCCATTGCTAGTCTACCTTCCAAATTAATTTTTTCTGCGATGTCAATGCTTAAGCGACTCCAAATTTCTCTTTGCCCAAGTATTGTTGTTTTCTGTGGTCCCCTACTGGTGTATGACAGGCATGTTGCTGGCGCGTCCGCTAGCTAACCAGAGGTCTCAGTTAGAAGTAAAATCCTTCCGTCGAAGCTTTCTGGTGATTGTTCTTACTTTAAAGTTTTCATACTTTATGCGCTTATATTTCAAATCAATAATAACAATAATTTTCTGGATTGGACGGAGACCAGCAGTTCCACTTTTCGGTTATATATATGTGTGTGTAGACAGCTCGCTATGAGTGCAACAGGCCAGACCCAGACAGCTGTTTCACGCTGATTACCGATCATCAGTAGGTCATAGGCCTAACCACAACAGTAAGTGTCAAACACCCACTTGACATGCATATATATATATATATATATCTATTTATATTGGAAGCTGGGCATCCGAAGAAACATAATTCAAAGAATGAGTCCCTTGGGAAGCTGAGCAAAATTTATTTCGTAAATTTTTGAGTCTGCTTTCCCAGCTCGTCTTCAGACGTGTGATAAGTGTGAAGAGGCCATTCACTCTGATGATTCATGCATAAATGGACGCATCGATCATGACGCCATGTACACAAATCTCAAGAAAAAATGGAAAAGGTAATAGCCAATAAAGACATTACATCAGCCCAGAGCATTGACCCATCCTCAGCCATGACAGAGCAATATCGATTTTTTGGGCATGTTTACTTTTTGACTGCTTCTTCACACATGTCTGAAGACGAGCTGGGGAACGAGACTCGACAATTTGCAAAATAAAGTTTGTTCATTTTTACAAAGTACTCATTTTTCGAAATATATATATATTCAACATCAAGGTGTCAAACTCATTTCACGAACATTTTGTCTTCGTCGTAATAGTCTTGCTGCAGAAGGACCTCGCTTCGCGTTTTATTCCAATCACGGTGATTGTCATAATCGGCGGTTAAGCTGAAGTCAAGACTGTCAGTTGGTGCAAATGGATCACATGTCTCCTTCTAAATACGCGTTAGCCACAGTATTCGTACTACGTGATGGTAGATAAACGAAAGCGTCTTCATGTCGAAAAGTCTATTCCATTGGTTAATTTTGGTCATTATTGTTAAATGATTCACGAAAAGTAACAGTTACAAAAATTTCGAGTGGAGTACGGAGCACAAGGTCGCTATCATCGTGGTTACGATTCCGGAACACTAAAACAAACTTCATGTACGACCGTCATCAAACTTCGACAGTCGCATCAACATAATTGTTCTCTAAATTTGTTCTTGCAGATTTCATCGACCGAGTAGAAGGATTGGTCTTTCGATGTGCAGTGGTTGGCGGCGTGAAGACTGTCAAGCTGAGTCAGGGAAGACTGAGTTATTTGCGCAAGCCGGAGTTGAAGTCAATTTATTAAGGAAATGAGGCTTTCGCCCTTAAGCTCCCAATCCATACTGATTAACAGAAATAGAATCAATTGTTACATCGGCAAATCTGGAAATTCGAAAGTTAAAACTAAGTGTGTGACCTGCCGCAGCTAAATCATTCGTGATTATATGTACAGCATTTTCTCAGCAAATGAGACTCTAGTCTTCACTTAATAAATTCAACGATTTCGGAAAGAGTCACTGCACCACGGAATCCGTTCCATGCCCAGTGACCCTCTGCGAGAAGGCGTTCCGTCTGACGTTCGTGTGGGTCAGCCTTGTCCGCAGTTTTAATCGATGACTACGAAGACAGTCATTCCCGGCCCACTGGAAGATTGCGTCAATGTCAAGGGCACACTCACAGTCTCTGATAATCCTGTAGGTTTGAATGGGATCTCTGCGCAATTTTCGGTAATTAAGATAAAGCGGATTTAGTTCGGCCAGCCTTGTTTCCAAAGGTACATGGGCAAGATTCGTGGCATTTTTGCAGTTATCGCCTTAACTCTTCCCAGTTGTTGATAATATTTTTTCAACCACAGTCGCCTGGTCTAGTCTGTGTATGCTCAGTGAGACAGTACGAATGCCCCGTAGGTTTTTCCAAACAGTTCTTTATCGATCTGCTTAAGTACTCGTTTCAACGCAGATAACAAACTTATCGCGCGTTTAGCCGCCTTTTGACAGTGTGCTGATGGCTTCAGCGAGGTTATTAGGAAAGGTTATTTGAAAGGGACTAGCCCCCAAGGACGTATTGGAGGGAATCATCCTCCTTATTTGTCTTTTTGATGCGGAGTCTCATGACTTCGCATTTGTCCGCATTAAAATTAAGGAGCCAACGAGCTGACTAACTGTTCTGGCGGTTGAGACTGTCTTGAAGCGCGTACCTGTCTGCGTCAGATCTGATGGGTCTCCACAACTTAACATCGTCAGCAAGCATGATGGCGCTGCATCCCAGGTAGTCGACGCAGTATTTAATGTAAACCAGGAATAGCAATGACCCTAGGACTGAGCCCTGGAGGATACCACTTAGAATGGGGTAGGGGTTGACCTCGAGGCCTCAACCCACACGATTTGTGATCTCCCTGTAAGAAAATTTGTTAACCATGTCAGCAGCCTTCCTCCTATTTCAATGTCAGTGAGTTTGCAGATTAGGCGTTTGTGTGGGACGCCGTCGAACACCTTCTTGAAGTCCGTGTAGACGACCTCGGCCCTACCATCCTCATCCAGTGCACGAGTCGACTGTCGAGAATAATAAACTGGAAAGTCACGAGCGATTCTGTCTGAAGCTGTGTTGCAGCCTCGAGAGTAGGCGATTCTACTCCAGGATTTTCGTTCTTTCTTAATTATGGCTTTTATTATTTTACAGTAGATACAGGTGTGACTAACAGGCCGGTAACTGTTAACATTAATGTGAGCCCCACCCTTACATATCGTAATGATATTTGCTGTCTTCCATTCCGATGGCAGTCTTCCTAATTCGAATGACGAGCAGAAGATGTGTGCCAGTGGTTTGGAGGGTTCGTTCGCCCAATTCTTTCAAGAATTTGGCCGACATATTTTCCGGACCCGAGGACTTTGCTTCTTTGAGATATTGTAGCTCCCTTTCCACAACAGATGTCGGGAAGAGTATGGAACCAAGCTCAGGACCGACGGTCTCAACAGCATTTCTGGCACTGCGACTACAGAAATTTGTTTCCCTAGTAAAAACCGAGGCAAAATACCATCCTGGGTAATCGGCTTTCCCGCTGTTCTCAACGATTTCTACACCATTATCATCCTTCAGTACTGCGAGTGAGACCTTGTTTTTCAGTGTACTGTTAACATAGTGAAATATAATCTTGGACTTCTGTTCGGCCTGTCGGATGATTCTGGATTCATACTCCTTCCACGCCTGACGGATACATTCTTTGACTGCATGTCGTTTAAAACAAAATTCTCCGAGATGCCCTGGTGACCCGGATCCCCTGAATATTTTTCTCGTTTGCTTTTTTCCGTAACAGCCTGCTCAAGTCCCTGGTTAACCAGGCAGGTCGACAAGTCGTTCTTTTTAGCTTAGGTAGACAACAGGGCCAAATTAAATCGAGAGAAATCGTTTTAAACAGTCTCCATTTGTCCTTTGGAACTCCCTCGTGGAAAGGGTCCCAATTCACTGACATCACTTCGTTCTTCATCATGTTAAGATCTGCCTTCCATATATTAGGTTGGCCCTCTGTTCTCTTATGGTGTTTAGAGAAGAGCGAGCAGTCGCATAGTAGCGTAGTATGGTCACATTTTGCGCAAGATGCATTGGAATACACTTCGTCGATATTAGGGAGATCGTTAGTGAAAACTAGGTGCAAGCAATTAGCTCTCTGTTTCACTCTACGTCTTGTTGGGATCTTCACATGTTGCGACAGAGGGAAGTCGATTGTGAGGCCCATTAACTTATTGCTGGAGGAAGTTGACCCGTCGTTAACTACCATAGTTTCCCAATCTATTGAAGGTGCGTTGAAATCCCCAGAAAAAGAACCTCTTGATGGCTACCTACTTCCATGACTAAATGAACTAGCGACTCGTCAGCTGCACTGGGAAGGTTTGTTGGTCTGTAAATCGCCAGGAATTCCAAGTTTTGAACATTACTCTTCTTTATATTTATCCTGGTGAACTCATATTTTTCTTAACTCCTATCTTCAGGACCGATATCAAGTGGTGCAAATTCGAAACGTAGTCTCAGAACCATCCCCTATTACCAGTGGAGTACTTCAAGGCACTATCCTAGGTCCCATTCTATTTATCATATATATTCACGACTTATCGTCCATATCAGTATCAGCTAAGACGTTTTTATATGCGGACGACCTTAAACTTGCATATGCATATAACGGAAACACAGTTGCCAATATCCACAGAAAAATTGAAACTGACGTCAGAAAACTCAGCGAATGGAGTTGTAAATAGCAGATGCCCTTTTCATCCGAAAAATGTTATCTCCTGGTCTTTGGCCCACAAAAACTTCCGCCCGTAATTTTCGAGGATAATGAAATGACGAAGGCCCCATCGGTAAAAGATTTAGGTCTCAGCTATACAAATACTCCAGATTTTTCTCGCCACGTTCGTCAAATATCACCGAAAGCCACTCGCCTATGTGGATTCCTATGTAAAAATTTCACTTTAAATGAACTAAGAATACGACATTTCAAAATGTGTGTTTTACGTCTCCTAGATTATTGCTCAATTTTCTTCGGTATAATGCCCTCAGACGGCCGAAAGTAACTCAAAGGCATTCAGAGACGTTTTACTCGATTTTTGTCAAGAAGTGATGTCACCCAGGGTTCATACTTAGAACTATATCAACTATATGGTCTTCGACCACCCTGGATCAGAAGACTCCAAAATGGTCCAAACTTCCTATTCAAAGTCACCCATGACCGAGATATTCTCAAAATGAATTTACTGACAAACCAAAACGCCCCCAGAAACACCAGAAATAACGAAGATATTGTACGAATCCCCAAATTCACAAAGTCCCAACGGTAGACTTCCTACACCATAATTATCTTAAGATATGCCACTATCCGGAATGCTCTTCCAAGTTCTATCCGGAAAATTCGAACCCTAATCAAGTTTAAAATAAAAGCTAAGAAATTCCTTTCAAATAACAATACACATTTATTTTTAAATAAAATAGGACACTTTTCAAGTCAATTCTTTGATATCGAATTTGGTCCGAAAGGGCCCTTATGATACCAACCGCTTGTATAACACCGAAACATTCACTGAAAAACAATCAAATTTACGAAAGATAGCATCATTGATAAATATAGAACGAATAGGGATATTCTTCCTTTCCTCCCTTTACCGTTTCTATCGGCTATGTAACCTGACACTAAATATCCCTTAAGGAGCTAATAATAACATCACTTTCGATAAAACCCTGCATATTAGTTGTACGGACGTCAATATTAAAGTCATACTAAACATATATACATCTGTATTAGATTATAGTAAACATTCGATCACAAATCCTATAATGTCACATTCACAAGAATCAATATGATACATAATTCAATATTTTTCTAACAGCTTTAATTGTGACTTACTATTGATAGTTTCTTACTCCTGATATATATATATTCATCTTTTCCAGCTCTTAATCCAGACAATTATGTCAAACCTCCAGAAAAATACGAAGGAAATGTGCGACCGCCCCTTTACAGCTGGCCAGATAGACTGACAACCACTGTAGCGGCCGAGTGGGTAGCGGACGTCGAACCGCGGACAGTGAACGAAGGGGATGAGGGAAGTTTGAATTCAGACGGTCCAGTAGATTGGAAAACTCGGTGTAAAAGGCCTTGAACTTCAGAATAAACGGTAGTGGGGTAGACAGGCGTACGGGGCATAATGTAGACAACGAAAATGATAAAAAGATAAAGGTTTATTGAGATATACAAACGGAAATCTAGTAACGGGACTGCGTAAAAACAAAAGAGTATGAAAGGAGGACTTATCGAGTGGGTCCGCAGTTAATTGTCGATACGCGGCTTCCGGAACGAAGACTCTGCCATGCAAAACGAAAACAGTGGCCAGTGTATATTCAAACACTCAAGGTCGGGTCCCTGGTCAGATCTCCGACTGTTACACCACCAACTAAAACGCACCAAAATTTACCCAACTGGAAAATAGTTTCAAGGTCAGGTCATTATCAAAGTTCTTCAATTTCCATGAAAGACATATTATTCATCCCCACCCAGAAACTACCAAACTGCACACTTCAATTTTTATGTTTTTCATATCGTTCTTTCTTAAAACGTTTGTGATTATTTCTCCGTGGATTTCAAAACAAACTCTCAATTCGCGCTCTATTGGCTAAAGAGACACCCAAGACAAATGCAGTCAAAGTGCAGTCGAAATGGACGAGTTTGTTGTAGGTATTTTCCTGTGTTCAAGGGAGGCTGACAGTGCCTAAGGGGCCTTTACTAAACATATTCTATTCTATATTCAAGGAAGAGGGTTTGCAATCGTTCAACTACCGAAATTCCAATCCTTACATATACGACTACCCCACCGCCCTGTCTATTTTGACGGTCTCTACGAAGGAGCTGGTAACCCGGTATCGAAATCTCAGCATCCCCAATTGCTATATGAAGTCAAGCTTCGGCTATGGCTATGACGTCGGGGTTTCGTTCTGAAACGACCGCTTTGAGTTCTTCGAACTTTGAAACGAGACCTTGGGCATTTATACACAAAAGTTTCAATTTAGCATGAGCAACTACGGCATACAGACGTTTATCCATTTTATGGGATTAAATGCAAAAGCCGGTCGGAGCTGATCGGAATGGGCTGCTTTCCATCACTCCCAAGTTGTTAGGGTTATGGGCTTCCTCCATGGGATTGGCCTCTGGACGCGTATAATTGTCACGTTCTGTATTCTGAGATTTTTCTTGCCCAGGCTTGACCGGCTGACGACTTCCAATTCGAGTTCCTTCCATTTTTCTCTCTCCGCGTGTGAAAAGTCCCGCTGAAAAACTCATGAGTAGGCATTTTGGAGTGCAGATTTCCTGCTCAATAGTAACTGCGCTTGTTTCTGAATATGGAAGACAATTTTTAGCGGTCGGTCGGTGGGACTCGTGTTTTGAGTTTTTTATTTGGCCCATCCTGAAAGAAGTTAATATGATGACTTTCTCGTCTCCTCTTAAGAGCGATATGAGATATTCCTGGAATAACTCTATATCATGTTATATTCTGTCCTTTGGAGTTTCGGAAACAGATGCAGACATACCCTTTATGACAATCCATTTATTACGTTCAACTGAACGGTCTTCTGGTTTAATCATTCGTGCAGAGACTTTATCACAGATATCCCGACTACCGCCATTCACCGACACAGGAAGGTTTGATTTGGCAGAACTAACGTATGACTGCCTGTTTACTACGATCTCTTGATTATGTGTCATTTTCAGAGGCACTATTTTTGTTTGCGGTGTACCGAACTCTTGCTCCCTCTTCTGACTCCCCATACCTTTTAGAGGTGCTCTGAGATATCTTTTTGTTCGCTAAGATACCGTCTGGCTACCCTTTTCTTGCATAAGACACTGGCTGTCATGCATATCAGGCTCTAGAGAGCTAATCTTTCCCTTCTCCTCCGTCGACACAAATAAGAAAGCCGTTTTTGCGTATGTTCATTAATTTTCCTGAATTTGGGATGTCGCCGATACCTCCTATTTGGGTGAATAGCAAGGTTGATTCCTCAGCTTCTCCATCTGCATTCTCAGGCCCCTAATATCCCCCACTTCCAAAATTTTTTGAAGGATAAGGAAAATAAAAGGTCAGTCGCGTCTGCATTCAGATAAATACTTTATAAGGGAGTTTGTGATATCGAAAGTTCCTACTGAGTACGAGTTGGTAATCTGGTTTATCAGTTTTCGAGCAGTTGCAGATGCAAAATTATTAGCGGTGGTAGGGCATCAGAAAAAGGAGAAAGTTAAGGAATTCAGTCAGTCTCAATGATGAAATGTTTGGCAAAAATAAATTTAACATTCTTGCTTTGCCCGACTTCTCTGTAATGAAGGTCTCGTTGGACGAGTTTGGTTTGGGTTATTTTTCTGTGTTCAAAGGAAACCTGCACTGCCCAAGCGGTGATATAATTAACTAATTTTATTATTTCAAAAGAGTACGAGCATTTCAGGCTACCAGAATGAACGGACACACCCTACCAGTCTGGTAAGTGGAGTAGCGGGGAGGAGAGAAAGGGGAAGATAATTTTGTCTCAGATTTTATTGTTTCGACCGCGAGTTTAGTGTCTGCGTGCTACGATAAGTGCGCAGGGTACATGACCCCAGCATTCGTCCAGGGCATCTTTTTTAACGTTTTCCCCCTCATGGGGATGAGCAGTGATCTCTTTAAATGGAGCTGCTCAGTTGTATCAGACGGCTGCCGAACTGCACTATGGATCACGACTTTTGTTTAATGAGAGAACAACCCCAGTTAGTCCTGGATTGATTACGACATCGCCATAAGCCTGAAGGGGATTAGGGATGGTTGACGGGTAGGGAGACGGAAGCCAGAGCTTTCCCGTCCCTCTCTTAGTTAATCGGCTGCTGAAATATAAACGACTAGCCGACGAATTCAACAGAACGACGTCTAACTTACAATAAGGACAGACACGAATAAGCAGACAAAATAAAGCAGGCAAGAACAAGCAGAAGCAGAGGCAGGCAGAGGAAATCCAACGGAACAGCATTCAGCTTTCAACAAGGACAAGCTCGAACAAGCAGACAGTGAGCCAGCAAACAATAACAAGCAAAAGCAAAGGCAGCAGATTAACGTTCGCTTTCCTGGCGGCTCACTCACCTTGTGGCCTCGGGTGGTATTCCAGACGGAGCCTCATCACTCAGATGTCGATGCCGGCCAGCGGAGCCGAGATTACGTGTGCGTCTATTTAATATAATATAATATAATAATTTTATTTAATGCCAGTTTACAGGCATTGTCAGGGAAGCGTTAAACACAAATCTGGCCAGCAGTGCAAAAAACACTCCTGCGGAAAAGGAATAAAAATATAATAGATGGTGTTTGTGGTTTGGAGGGCTCGAGAGAAAAAATCAGTCTTTGCATTACCTGGAGTTTATAATCTTGTCCTAACACATTAGAGGAGGACGACATCGGAACACGCTGAAGGAAACGGACAAGTAGAACGCACCGACCGTACGATTATTAGCCTCTATAATGCATTTTGCCCAGGACCACTATTCTAATGATTGCGAACAGTAGACTACGTGACAATGATAGCCTATTGGGCCACTACTCATGCTTCATATGACTACATCGTTTACAAGCTTATTGATCATCTTTTCAGATTTATATTCGATTTGTAACTGCTACTCCAGGGAAGTACATCTCCAATAGGTATGTCATAAACCTACACAAGCATTTAACTTCGAGCACAATTTAGCATTCAGCACCCTCGCAGGCTCCATTATCGCCAAAAAGAATATTTTGACCGGCACACCTACGGATCAGCTAAACAACTTGTTGACTCACTTTTAGGCTTCAGATCAGTAGAACTGGTTCGTACGTCATACACATTATTTCCACCTGGAAAGATCCCTTTGTGCTCATCGAATCTATGACGCCTAACACTGCCATGCTCAAATGTGGGGTGCCCTAACTTTAAAGTTAATTTCGGCAAAATCATGCCGCACAGGAGTCGTCCACCTGATAGTTCGGTGAAATCACCCCCTATCTTGCCACCAAACAACGGTCCTACAATCCTCAAACTATAAAGCGATTGTTGAAAACCACAACACCAAACAAGTCGGTCCTGCGAAAGGGTCTCCACCTAAAGGAAGAATTGCAACGGAGAAGGAGTGAACAATGGTTGTCTGCGATTAAATAAGGTTATTTTTAGCCTTCAAACTGTTGCAGATATGGCGGCTGAAGCCCATGCAGGTGCGCGAGGGAAGTCATCTTTGGGGTAGCAAGAGCGAGAGGACAGCTAACTACTTCGGTGTTGGTTCACTTATCTGATGCTCATGTCAAGATTGACATGTTTTTGAAAGTGATTGTGCCACCCGAAGTGCGTTGAGAGTGCTTAATACAAATTGCCCGTAGAAAGGACCCAGAACATACTAAAACAACATCAGATAGGAGTTGTTTCAGGCAATTTTTTCACTATTGGTCTCTTGTAGCATAAGTGACTGAATAAGCACGGTGATCTACACACCGAGCAAAATGAAACAAAGCTACCCACGTTTACCATAAGCAATCCATGTACACTCTATCATGTCTCTAACGCTCTTATTTCAAATGCTGAATGTATTCATATTGACCCAACTGTGAAAAACTCGGCACCTCGGTGGGATTCGAACCCACGCAGTAAGGGGAAGGCTTTATCGCAGCCAACGTTCTAACCACCTGAGCTACGAGGCCCCGCCGGACGACGCGAGTTTAATCACATCAAAGAAATGCTGAATGATCCCTCCACTGTTTCGAATGAGTGTAGTAATCAAGTCCGCCGCCTCAGAATATCGAAAAGAGATCCGTCGGCCTGATAGCACGCATTAGCCTTGTGGAGGTATACTCAAGTTCTTTGAGTAGGTAATCAAACGCGCAACACGCGTCTCAGATGATACAAACAGTGGCACAAAAAACGTTTTCCTTCAACATGGACGTCGCACGAATGAGTTAATCCGGAAATAGCCTGCCATACATACACACGTACGATTGCACTTTCATTCCTCACGTGAGGCTGTCCAGTTCCAGCCACGTTATTCTGCCCGTCTTTGCAGGCTAAAAAAACAAAGTCATCATAGTTTCCCCTCTGCTAAAAAACAAAGTCAATCATAGTTTCCACTCTCCCTCGCTACGTGAGAGCAATGCTTATGCAAATACTTTAATATAGTAACTATACAATTCAGATTTCTGTCGGTAGCGCGTCAGTCTTAAAATACGTAATCATGAGGCTTGAAAATCTCTGCCACACTATGAAGATGATGATAACCGCGTTTTACAATTAGGTTTATGTTGTTGCCGATGAGCGCTCTCCCCAGCTCTCTTCTTTGCTCTCCACAGAGTTTTTCCTGTATCAGTGATTCTTCAGCAAGCTCTGACTATATATTTCAAAGAAAGAGAGCTCGGTACTGTTTATTTAATTCTCTCACACAGTAGATTGTCGTCCGTCAATTCTCCGTCGCTCTATTCAAAGTTCTTCCATACCTCTGCCCGTTGTCCAGGACAAACGCCTCGTCTGCCTAAAGATAACGCGGTTCCGGACATTGCCTTTGTTGTTTCGCCGGTATCCCTTATTTGTCATATCCCCTTTCTGTTTGCAAGTTTCAGAATTCAATCAGCGTTGATTTTGTTGTTATTTTGTAGTCTTGGTCCTCTTGACCCTTGAATATCCACTGGATTGGAAATTTGGCGTGTAGACCAGTAGTCTACAAGCATATTTTACCTAATTAAAACCGATGTCTTTACTTGGTGCCTAAGAGCCACATCTCGGGATGCATACAAAATAGCGGGTTTGGTCGAGCTGTTTATAGGAAATCTTTAAGCTCTATGCCGATTAGTTAAATTATGCTTTGGCTGATATCTTCTCGTTTCCCTTAACAAGGTGCCACTGACGCCGCACTTAAAAGGCAGTTTTTCATTTCCACGTTTCCGTCTTCTGCACTGTCCGTGCTCTGTCCTCAATTCTGATGAGACAAAATAATCCGAGTCTCCACGCTCTGTTTAATCCCACTACCCTGCTAACATCGTTCAAACAGGCCCCATCTGTCGTTTATATGAGTCTTTGAGAATCTTCCTCTGGGGACTTTGTTTAAGCATTCAAAATCATGAACCTTATGAAGTAAATCATTTTTCAATCAGAATCTTGGATCAATGGTCACTCGTGGAAATGCGCAGGATGCCAAACTGTCATCGACTTCTGAATCATCCTCCGGAAGTACCCCGGAGTCGTCACCAGTCACCCCCACTTCTTCACCAACTCTCCGACAGAATCTGGATAAGGAAACTTACAGGCGCTTATTGGATGCCGAAGTTCCATTGTCCATTATTCCGAGGTCCCTTGAAAATGGGTTCGTGTATGTTGCTCCGTGGAATTTTCTCATGTTGTTTGCCTCGAAGAAGGCTGTTTAAAAGTCGCATTTTATTTGTTTTTACTGTTAGAAGCCATGGGTCTCGAGTAGATTACAACGTTCGAATGTTTCACTGCGTAAGCGTAGACATGCTAGTCTATAAAAAAAGAGATAAGAAGATTAGCCTGACGTTTGAAATGGGCGATCATTATCGAATTCACGCTTTCCTTTTCCCCAATTTTTGACAAAACATGGACTGCCGTGGTAAGAGTATTTCCAGAGCAGCTTCATTTTTCACATTTCGTTTGTATCCGTCCGCTTTTTAAGTTAGGAAGATAATAAGTATCCTCTATTCGTCGTCCAACTGTCATTCATTCGTTGTCATTGATCTCACTAGCGGATTTTGCACAAAGTACGCGAACCAGTTTTACCTACAGTGATCTTATGCTCTATGCATGCTGTCGTCTCCTGGCGTTTTCAGTTAACTTGAGTCCTACTCCTGATAGCGCAGGACCCTCCCTCTTGTGACCGAAGCAATAGTTACGCTTCAGTTGATCAGCAGTCCTGACCATAATTTAGTTAACTGTTGGAAATTTCCCTAAAACGGGGCAATGTCTTTCATGGTACCAGGTCATTAAAACCGCGCTAGGTGAGCGTTAATACTGCACGCACCATTTTCAACAATTTTGCGGTTTCACTTATTGTCTAACTAAATAATGCTTATCTACTTAGTATGATACGCCATCTATGACTTCTTTTACCTCTCAAACACAAAACATTATACAAGATTTATTTGATATTCTGAGTTCACACGCCCTTTTCACCTTCAGAAGCAACGCCTCAGGAAATCGCATTGGATCCGCGCAAGGTATTCATTCTAAACCATTTGCTTTCTTCTATAAGGTAGACCGCACAAACAACCTTTCTGAGATTGTGCTTTATCAACGAGTTTTGCCCAAAACAGTCTGGTCCTCGTACCCACAATTTTCGCAGTTCTGCAACCCTAGGCGGTTAGTTAGATGTCGTGTGATGTCCGGCGTCTCACACTATCAGACCGTTAATTAGGTGCGCTTCTTTTTGTGATCTTACTGCAGGTCTTGAACCGTGATATGTCGGGATGTAAACCTTGCACTGGCTATCCTCGTTCTAATTCACTATGGCCAGGCCTTACTCAACATTTTTGACTTATAGTTTCTGTGATTTGTTGACATTCATTTATATGCGGCTGCGTTTTTAGGGCAGACCTAATGTTAGTCGTCATGGGTATTGATACGTAGAATGCCTCGTGGATCTCTTCTCCTGGGCATGTATTCCTCGTATAAATACAGGCATGTTGCCCGTTTTGTTTCTAAGTTACGCATAAGTAGAATCTAGACCGCACAGAAAGCATCTCTTCATATACTTAAAATTTAAAATAACTATTCGATTATGCCCATTTTTTTATTCGGAAATGGCAGGCCAAAATCGGCAAATCATACTTAAAAATCGATAAAACACCAGATCTTCTAAAAATAACCTGTTTAGCATAATTTGCGGCAGGTTTTGTTTGCTAGAACTCTCAAGGTTAAGTTAGTCTGGAAGAAAAACAAGCTCGGATGCGCGAACCAAGTCAAGGACAGCTATTTACATGTAAATTTGCCCAAATATAGGGTAACGTAGATTTCTGCCTAGATTAACAGAAATTTCGCCAGCCCAGATAACTTTAACACATGTTCTGCTCGAAAAAGAGCTTTTTTGGAAGGGGCCAGCGAATTACTAAAATGAACAAGATGTGCATGTCTCCTATCACTATAATCCAATTCACGAGCAAATTTGTAGAAATGTTGCCAGGCAGAATAACTTGGACACGCATTCTGCTCGAAAAAGGATGTTTTATGAGAAGGGGCTAGGCGAATGCTTGAAACTGGCAACGTTTGAGGTGCCAAGAAACTGTCATACCGGTTCCTGCCATCACGTTTCCCGAGTTTGGTCACATGTCGTATATATGAAGGCAACTCTTGGTCTACAGCATCAATTATGTCGGCCTTCTCTTCCACCTTTTTATGGTGCAAGAAACGTTATTTTCTCGTGTTATCGGGCTGTTTGATGGTTGCTTTCACATTGTTGACTCATCACGACCTGTCTGTTTAATCCCTATTCTGATTTTCCCCGAATTTATTCAACGCATTATTTGCGTTATAGTCTGTCCAAAGTTCTCTTCATCCGTCAGAAACATGCGACAGTCATGTAGCGCACAATGAAATGTCACCTTAACATACTAAGCTCTCATCTTCTTTCTCCATGTCTCATGGGAAACTACCACAAAGTGACTGGTATGGGGATCGAGGCGGGAGAGCTGGGCTTGGTGACATCAACACCGATCTTCTTCCTAGTTTGTTCACCTACTTCAGGTTCCCCTCTGATGATCTAGGCGCATATTATTTAGAGTAGTCTCTTCTCTAAAAACAGTTCACTCTTTTGCCCCCTCCACCCTTCTTTCCCCCACTAGTCTCAGCTACTGCCTCAAGGGGTCTCCCTCTAATACCGGCAGCTGCAAAACGACAGCTCACACGTCCGACCACTGCTTCGGCAGCCTCATCTGCAACAACATCCGTCCCCTCACCGGGTCTCTCTGTAGTACCCGCGGTCGGTGAACGACAGCTAACACGTCCTACCACTGCCTCGGCAGCGGCTTCGGAATGGTGCAAGACGGTGAGCAGTACACCCTACTTGTCCGACACCTGGCTGAAGGAGTTCTCCGGCTCTGCGGCCTCCTCATCCTCCGACGCCAACAGGCGTGATCAGGCCCGAGCAGAATTGGAGGCAACGATTGAGTTCTGGGAGTCGAAGGTTCGTCTTTGCCTCCGTCTTCTTGCCCCCTCCGTTTCCCGTTAAATTTGTCCCATACTTGTGATGATTCCAGACGCCCTGAACGCCCCGTGCCCGGATGAAATGTCGAACACAAAAGTAGTGAGACAAATATTCGGTGTCTGTGAAGAGTTAACGGCGTCAAGAGCATTATGGTGGTGGATAGAAACTTTCGTATAAGGGTGCATCTGTCCTCCACAAGTCTCCATTTTATACCGACTGTGTCGTTTGTCGGGGTCCACTTTTGATGTTTTACTTACGGAAAGGGCAAGGATCGTCTACGTGACCTCCCCTCGGCCTAAGACGGGAATAGGGACCTCCCGTAATGCGGACGGCTTTGCGCCAAATTCCAAGGAGATCAGGGCCAAGACTAGAGTTACGTCGATCAAAATCGTGGTCATTTGTTGCGTAAACTAGGGGGTGCGGAGTGGAGCGCCAGGGCGCGGATCCGTCTAAACCATCCACCTGCGGCCTCCCCCATCTCCGGTCCTCTTGACTCTGTCTTGACACCGGGCTCAGGTTGGGGAGGAGAAGAGAATGCGGTAGCTGCTGTGTATGTCTACTGGCACTCTAAACCCCCGCGCAAGTCACCGTCCCTGCTCCCACCCTGCTGTATGGACATCGTCGAAATCGACGGTCGAACTATCATTACGGGGCCGGTGTTCATATTACCATGTCCTGCCCGGGCGCGCATAATTGATCCCGACCACTGAAGTGGTATTCGGCCTCTGACCTTTTCCCCTCCTCTTGCATTGTGGAAGTGTCCTTTTGCACTTACAGCATTGCTCTCAAATTACTATTTCTGTCGTCGCCTGTCTGTTCGTTTATATCTGGATCCAGTTTCACCAGCCTTCCCTTTCCTGGACTACCCAAGTGTAGCCATTTTTCTCCTTCACAAAATGGTCACAAAACGGGGGATTTTTGGAACTTTCTGGTGATTTTACAGTTCCGCAATAAATACTAGCAGAGACAAGGTAAGTTCAGGCGGTCATTTCTAGCCTACATGCCATTTTCGACCAGCAACATGACAACTCCGTTTCGGATAACCCGGTGGTTTAAGTCAACCGTTAAGGCCACGCACTCGCTGTCATTGTCGGCTGCGATCGGGAATGTTACCTATCTTAAGGGTGGTGTAGGGGGGGGTCATTCAGTGGTCTATATGCGATACGCAACACGCTTGACGCTTTGTATCTTGGAACTCCAGTCTGGAACACTCACAGTCAGTCACGTGACGGCCAGGACTTCAGGCTTGTTACTTAATGGTAGGGTGTTGGACTTATAAGCGCTCAGTGACTAAGGCTCAAATCCGTAGTTGGTGTACGGCTGAATGACTACAGCAAGCAAGACAGAAATGGCCATCTCAGCCCCCTACCCCGTCCCCGGCGGTATTTAGTCTGCATTGTTATCACTTAATCGTATGTCGATATCAAGTACATATTTTACACCAGGCCACTGTTCGGAAATGAATAATAAGACCGAGGGACAAATTCGTCTTAACTGCCAATCACTTGTCTCCGGAAAAAAGCCTAACTCTTGATGTTTATTCCTCATCGTCCTTTGTCAATCAGAGAAAGGCTGCCGAACGAGCCAAAATCGATGCCCTGGGGAACCGTCTGGCCTGTCTTCTGCGCACTCCCCCGGTTTTGGAGGATCCCTACCTGAAACCACAGCCGATACCGCAGGAGTTGCCCTACAAACGACCGCCGACAAAACGGCCACTCCCGGGTAAGCTGCATTCTGCTCCCGCTGTACTCTTCTCCTCTCCCCTCTCCCCCTTTCCGTCCTCTCATTCCCGGTTCGCTTGCAGTCCTTACAGACCGTCAACTGGAGTTTGTTCAGGAGTCCCTGCGCTCTGCGGGGCTGGACACTGTGCTTGTAAACAACTTCCGTTTGGCCGTCACCCGGCGAGAGCTAATGACCTTGACTGCAACCAATTGGCTCAGCGACATGGTATGACTGCGCTTTGCAAAGAAAGATTTGGCTTCGATAAAGACCCTCTTTGCATTTGCCGGCTAACATGTTTGTGTCCCATTTTGCAGGTCATCAATTTCTACATGCAACTGCTCTTTCACCGCGGTCAACGGGTCCGTAAGGCCGAGGGTTTCACTCTGCCTCGGGTGGCTGTTATGTCTACGTTCTTCTACGCCAAACTAAGTTCCGGAACGGGCTACCAAGGTGTACGCAGGTGGACGCGCCAGATCAACCTCTTTGAGCATGACTTAGTGTTCTTCCCCATCCACGATCGCGGTATCCATTGGTGTCTAGCAGTGAGTATTTCCCCTCTCTCCCTCCCCCCCCTTGCTTATGTCCTCCGTTCTCGGCTAAGTAGGCTACTGTTTTTTTAGGCCAGATTAGTCTGGAGGCCTTCGCTCGATTAGATTAAACAGTTGCCCTGCTAGATTCCAATGTCCTTATCTTGGTCCTCAGAAATGCGGACTATATGCTGCCTGCTTTTACGTAAAAAATATCCACTATTATTCGCATATGCTAGATTAGGAACATCAGGTCTTTTGTTGGCCTTATTATTTGTTGCATTATTGTTTAGAAAATTCGCCGTCACTTGTCAGGGAGTGTCCGGCGTCTCCACAACCTTGGCAGACCTTTGCAGACTCCCTCCTGGAGGTTGCTATTCGCTGTCTACGGCTACCGGGGGGGTGGGGGGACCAGGCTAATACGGGGAACGGAGCGTTGGTCGATCGATGTCAAATTAGCTACTTAATTGATAGATTGAGAATCTTCTTCAAGCAGGCCTACTAGGGAAAGAGCCTTCCAGCCCACTTTTGCCCTCCACTGTCCGTTGCAATACCACAACATTTCGGCCACTTTCCTCCCCCCCCTGGCGTCCAACCGAGGGTGGGCTTGTGATATCAGTTCGACCGTCCCGAGGGCGATTCTGTCCACCGTGTGCACCACTGCGAGGTGGGCGCAGGACGATGACTTGCGCGTTAGGTGTCAGCAGACTTGCGCTGCATCTGCCGCACTCTCTCCTCCCCCACCCGGTGGCAGGGCAGAGTCAGAAAGACCGAGGCGAAATCAGAAATCAATCAAAAATCTGACAAATTTCAAACCTGGATGATATCCCTTGAGCAAAAGTTTCAAGAAGACTTAGTTTGCCATAAAACCAATGATGATGGCAGCAACCGTATTCCTGGTATTGGTAGTATTGGTGGTGACAGCGGCGGCGGCGGCGACGGCGGTGATGGTGGTGCCAGTAGTAGTAGTAGTAGTAGTAGTAGTAGTAGTAGTAGTAGTAGTAGTAGTAGTAGTAGTAGTAGTAGTAGTAGAAGTAGTAGTAGTAGTAGTAGTTGTTGTTGTTGTTGTGCTAGTACTGACGCTATTTTGATCGCTACAACTTGATTTTAATTATCATCTTTTTTGTTGTGTTCGATTCCTTTCTGTACTTGGCTTCTTCCCCTTTTCCACAGGCTGCCGATCTCAGGAATAAAACTCTTACCTATTATGACTCAATGGGCGGAGGAAATGACCACTGTCTGGATATTCTGCTGTAGGTTCCTCTCGTTTGATCGATTTCATCAATGTTTTTGCCATTTTGATCGTCAATACAGTCCGCTTGTAGTCTTCTCATGCGCGAAATCGCCTTTCCATTGTACCAAATAGTTTTGTCATTCTTGTATCGCCATGTGTGTGAGAATTGTTGGCCTTCACAGTCTTTCCATGCATGGCTTTGAAGCCAGCCAATAAGACGCAAACTGTCGGGAGAACAGAGGGCGTTTAGTGCGCCGAGACCGGCGTTCCATTTTTCCTAACTTGATTACTTATCAAAAACCCATGTGGATGTGCTTTATTGATTTTTGACGGTTACATTATCTAACTGCGAAAGGTTAGGTTCGCAACGTGCCAACGTAATCACACCAACTCAAAGTAATTACGTAGGTCAACAGCATTGTCTCCATCAGGTGCGGCTACATAACCACATCAGACCGTATACAGAAACCGAGTAGTCCTCTAAGGCGGCAGTGGCCGCTGGCGAAGCGAGGGCTGGCGTTGACTGCGTCCAGTCTTGCCTGCGAGTCCTCGATCGAGTACTGGCAGCCGCATTTGTAGGCTTGTGGGCCAATTTCAAGTGGTCTCCAGTCGGTGTGTGTTGCATTTGCCGAGGGGTGATGGCCCAGTGGCTTAAGGTGCTGGTTGCAGGGAGGGAGGTGCGTTCAAGGGACCGCATGGGCAACCGCGACTGTGTGGCCGCAGGCATGCATGTCTGAGCTGAAGTCGATCGAGTGGCATCAGGTCAGCGCGTCTGGAACGGCTCGCTGCAAGGGGTGAATGACCTTGAGGCAGTCAGCGAGGCCTTGGACAATCACGTCAGACTGGCCATGATGGCTGTCCGCAACGTGGGTTCATTCGTTTTGGGGGGAGGCTTCACTTTTCCCAGCGTCCTCTGATGAGGACATTGAATTTCCACCTTTCACTGACGTAGGAGTTGTTACACTTACTGCAATTGTTTCCTCGCCTCATCTACCTTCCCCTCCCCTTTAACTCCCATCAGTCTTGTTGAAACCAGAGGTCCAGCCTCGTCTTCTTGATGACGTCCATGTTGGCCTTCTTTTCGTCCACGGGAAGCCCAATCAGTGTTTCTGTCTGCGTCAAATTTTGTCTGATAAGAAGTGTAAGGGACGGCGGATGTCCCCTTTAGCGTCATTAAACTGCGTATTGATGTCGGGTACATCTACTGCTTTAGCCTCTTTCGGGTCTCTCATCCCTTCCCTCACTCAGGCTGATTGTCCGTTTTGCTGATGTAAGCGTGTGCTAGCCAGTATCAGCAAACCATGGCTCCTGCAGCCCGGTATGCGTTGGCAATTCCCTGACACCTGGCTCCCTGCCGGTAGATGCGCTTTTGCTCCCACTGGGTATACAAGTGGTGGTCGTGGCTGCTCAGTCATCATCTTCCTTCTGACCACTGTCGGGTGTTGTTGTTGCTGCTGCTGTTGTTGGTCAAAAACCTGGTCACTTGGCGTGTGGACTAGGGAGTGTGAAGTGGAACGCCAAGGTGCGGGCTCGTCCACGCCATCCACCTACGCCCTCCCCCTGCCTCCGGTCTTCTTGACTCTGTCTTGACACCGAGTCCAGGTTGAAAGTGGGGAGGATTGAGTGCGGCAGATTCTGCGCAAGTCTACTGCCACTTTAAATTCACGCACAAGTCACCGCCCTTGCTTTCACCTTAAATTGAGGCATACGGTGACCACCGCCGGCAACGACGGTCGAACTGTCGTGTGTGTGACACCTATTGGACGGAGGCTTCACGTCACGTTAGCCATTGCGCCTGGCCGGACTCCCAGTCGGCTTAACTTGGACTTGTCACTGGTGCACACCAAGAAGGGAAAGAGAGATAGGCCGATCTTGTATGAATTTTCCTCACACCCACTCGGGATCCATTTCCACTGTGTAATAGTTGCTATTTATCTATCGTTTCTATTTGAGAAGCGGTTAGAAACGTTTTGAGCACAGGTAGGTAATCGAGTTATTCAGAATAATTCAACACTGCTTTCAAAACCATTATCAATTTCCCCGACTCCTTCCTTACTGATTCTGACCGGTTTGATCTCATTGGGAGCGCCAGCTGTGGCGGGGGAATCCCTTCCGGTCTTTCAAAGTCCATCCGCCTTGGACTCACGCTACTTAACTACGTTCCGACTTTCCTTTTGTATACGGTCTTTTGCAGAGAGTACCTGGACGCAGAGTGTCAGGACAAGCTGAAGAAATCGCTTGACGGTCTTGACAAGTGGAAAAAAATCAATACCAAGGTACGTGCGAGAACACCGCTCACTCCTGTACAATTTTTTTTCATAATAGTGGTGGTGATGAACTAGCTGGTTGAGCTATTATCATGACGGCGAAAGCGAGTTAGATCTCGGAGGAGGGAGCCTGTTCCGTTTAATCGTTCTGGCCTTCCTGTCGAGTGAAATTTTTTCACAAGGCCCTAGGAGAGGGGTTTTGGCTAAATCTGCCAACCATTGCCAACTTATTGATCGCGGACTCCGGATTAATCAACCCGGAGTCGATCTTCAAATGCAGTCCAGGTCGGTTGAGCGACGGCCGTTAGCACCGCCTGTCTGGGCGTGATGCCCACAGGCTAAGAACAGGTGGAGGCTGCGCATTTTCCGGAAGCGTCGACCAAACACACACCTGATCACCTTCCCCCCCTCCCCTTGTCCCCATTATTTCTCCCAGAACTCGGTCCCTCAGCAGGAGAACGGCTGTGACTGCGGTGTCTTTCTCTGTACCTTTGCGGAATTCCTCTCTCGCGGCGCTGAATTCACCTTCTCACAGGCAAGTACCGCAGTAATCTTGAGTCCTTTTGGACCCCCCCCCCTCCCCCAGGATTTTACCTGCATCAGTGCAATTCCTGCATTAAAGCCCCGATATCCAATCCCTGACTCCTTGGCGTTTGGACGCTGACTGGTTTGTTTACCGTAAAAGTATCCGACGCCTTGTCCAGTTATCGCTGCCACATGTTCCATCTAAGCAATTCAGCGATGCGGTTCAGCAGTTGTGTGGTTTATATCTTGATCCAGTGGGCCGCCTTCCACTTAAGTCAAACATCTCTGCCACTCCAACTTTGTATTCCGTCCTGTAGTGTTTAGGGAGTAAATGAACTTCGCTGCAGTAACTGATACTGTTTCGAAGACTTGATAAGAAACTTTTCAGTCAAATGGCACCCCACCTGATTTCAGCATTGAGTAACAGGCATAATTCCAATACCATCCACAGTTTGTGGGTTTGCATGTGCCAGTGAAGATTCCGAGGAAACGCTCAGACGTTCTAGGGAATGTCGAAACCCGGAAAATGATTTATGTGGGCGAAGGTGCGAATGCCGGTCTGAGAGGGGAAAGGCTCCCCTCCAGCGTCTCGTGCGTATCAGCCATCTATTACTGGTCGCACAGACGTCAAAACTGCATTCCGGCTAGTCAACTTATCGATTTTTTTCTCTGTGATCGTTGCCGTCTGAATGGCGCGACGTGCAAGCTTGTAGTCGGTCAAATCAAGCTTTTCACCCCCCGCCCCCTCGACTGCGACGGGTCATCGATGAGCATATTTCATATGCCGTAGACGTGGTCATTTCCTGTCCACTGTGAGCAGTCCTCAAACCAGCCACTTTCATCTCGTTCCTCCAATGTTTCTCTCTCCCTCCAGGCTGATATGCCGCAGATTCGCCAACGCATGATGTACGAAATCCTCACTCAGCAACTCCTCACCACGAAGACCACTCTGGCCCCTGCCTAGGCGGATATCGCCGCAGCTGTCCACTTGCCTTACCGTTAGACGATTTCCTTGTAAATATTTGTACCATATACATGTATGTCTCCAAAAAAACGCACTTACACGGTTACCTGTGATGTGAATAAAAAATCACGATTAGCTGTGAATTTCTGCTTCTCCAGGGCGAGATTCGGCCCACAGACGTGAACTCCGACACCCGCCTACGAGTGTTTTTGCCGAACCGTTGCTAGGATATTCCGCCTCGCTGCTCATAATGTTAGCTTCGCTTGGTGCGACCGTCTCTTCCGCTGCCCCCCCCCCCCAAATTTCTCGACTCTGTCCCAGCTGCCCCCGGCGTCGCCTCCCCCCCTTCCCCACACCGGCCTTCCTCGCAAGCATTTTGTTCGTAGGTGTGTGGTGTCAGAAGCCAGGGAGGCTAAACTGCCTGGGCAGTCTTCATTCGGTCTGAGTGAGCGAACGGCTGTTGGGAGCCGGTGGCTGGCGTACACCAAACGCACGTATGAGCCGCGCTACTACAGTAGGTGGGCTAACTCATGAAATGTCAACCAAAATGCGTTTTCGTTTCGAAAAGATTAATTAAGCAGGGTTGTAAAACTAGTTGGCCTGCAACGTAATTCTATAATATTTCAGTTACCCCAGGATGCCGGCTTTCGAATGGACTTCTTTCCGTCTACATGCAAGAAATACACTTAAAAAACTGACTACTGAGGTGCCATGAATTTTTCATTTATTTTCGATGCCCCTCAAAGTCCAGTTATATTTTACGGAAAACATGCATATAAATATTCATTTTTTGCACATTCGGTAGATAATTACAGTAGATGTGCTAACTCATGAAATGTCAGTCAAAATTTCGAAATGCGTTCTCGTTGCGAAAAGATAAATTAAGTAGTATTGTAAAACTAATGAGGATGCAGCATAAACCTATAATGATCCAGTTATCTCAGGGTGTCGGCTTTCGGGAGAACTTATTTTCGGCTGCATGCAAGATCTATACTCTGCAAAAAGATGACTACTTAGGTAGTATGCAATTTTCTCATTGATTTTCGATGCCCTTCAAAATTCAATTATATTTCATATAAAACATGCATACAATATTCATTCTTTTACTTATTCGGTAGAAAATCACGTCTTCTTCCAATTTAATACTCAAAATAAGAGTATAATTCGGTTATAAAAAAGTTTCTAATTGTGAGATTTTTTAATATCGTTAAATGGCCGTTCATGAAAAGTCATGTATCTGCATTTACGAATGTGGCTTGTAAAGTTAACAATATTGCTCAGATACACTGCTTAATTTTATGAACCTCATATGGTCTCCTCTTAACACCGTAGAGAAATGCATGGTTTTCCGTACACGGAAAATATACAGCTTGTAGTTTTCAAACCGTGAATGTAAGTGTAACTGCAGGTCGGGTTTAAAATTATTCGGGAATTAGAAAAGTTTTTTAAAACCGAATTATACTCTTCTTTTGAGTATGAAATTGGAAGAAGACGTGATTTGCTACCGAATAAGTAAAAGAATGAATACTTTTATGCATGTTTTCCATGAAACATAATTGAATTTTCAGGGGCATCGAAAATCACTGAGAAAATTGCATGCTACTTAAGTAGTCATTTTTTGCAGAGTATAGATCTTGCATGCAGCCGAAAATAAGTTCTCCCGAAAGCCGACACCCTGAGATAACTGGATCATTATAGGTTTATGCTGCATCCTCATTAGTTTTACAATACTACTTAATTTATCTTTTCGCAACGAGAACGCATTTCGAAATTTTGATTGACATTTCATGAGTTAGCTCATCCACTGTACGTCTTCCTCCAGTCTTATACTCGAAGGAAGAGTATGATTCGGTTTTCAATAACTTTTCAAATTCCCGAATAATTTTGAACCCGCTCTGCCGTTACACTTGGATTCGGGATTTCCAAACTACAAGCCGTATATTTTCCGCCTGCGGAAAATCACACATTTCTCCACGCTAATAAAGGAGTACTATATAGGGTTCATAAAATTAAGCAGTGGATTTCATCCATATTGTTAACTTTACTAGCCACATTGGTAAATGTAGTGACGTGACGATTTATGAACGGCCATTTCACGGTATTTAAAAGTGCCACAATTAGAAGCTTTTTTTACAACCGAATTATGTCTCTCCTTCGAGTATAAAATTAGAAGAAGACGTAATTATCTACGGAATGAGCAAAAGAATGAATATTTTTATGCATGTTTTCCATGCAATATAATTGGACATTTAGGGGCATCGAAAATCAGTGAGAAAATTCACGTTAATTAGTCAGTCGTTTTTTGCAGAGTGCATTTCCTGTATGCAGCCGGGAGGAAGTTTATTCGAAAGCTGGCATCCTGGGGTAACTGAAATATTATAGAATTGTGTTGCAGGCGGACTAGTTTTACAACGCAACTTAATCCTTTCGAAACGAGAACGCATTTCGGAATTTCGGTTGACATTTCATGACTTATCCCACCTACTGTAGTTGAGTCCTTCGGTGGGATCCTGGCAGGCGGGGGAATCGCGTGCGCAGAAGAGCCCCTACGGCTGCGGCCACCCGCTCGAAACACCGCGTTGACTCATGGGTGCACACCATCGCGCCTCGCTGTCCAGTTTCGTCATCGGTGGTGCGGCGGGGCGGGAATTTTCTGCATGCCTGGGGAGGATCTGAAAGTAACCGCCTCTGACGTTTTGCTGTAGTGCCCCCCGATGTTTGCGGTTGTGCCCTTCTCCCTTGTCGGGCTGCACTGGGTCAGAGCATGGGTCATCGTCTTCAGACCTGACAACCAGACTGCAATGGCCCGATCGCAATGCTGTGACCTCTGCAGCGCGCGTGCGCGGGCTGTTTAGCTTCGTCGGTCACTGTAACCGTGCCCGTCTCCAGTCCTCTTGATATTGCATTGCCGTCTAAGCCAGGTGGGTGAGGATGGGGGTGGGTTCTGCACGAGCCTGTCTCAGTGTAAACTACTCAACGCGCAAGTCATCCGTTCCGCACCTATCCCGTGGGGCACGCTTGCGACAGCCGGGCTGTCGGGTAGTAATTTGTATTGTCTTGCTGGAATTGTGTATAAGATGACATAGACGTTACTTCGGCGTTTTTATGCATCACCAGTCCTGACGTCTCGTATACGCTCGCATAATAGTGCTCGCCCGAAGTACTTTCCCGTCACTGATTGTCGAATTGCGACATCCGGGCCGTCCCCCTCGCCCCGCAGTCGGTCCAGGCTGGTGTGCGGCGTAACCTGATTTCAATGGATTGGGCGTGCACCCGTGGCCCGACCGATAGAACGCTGACTCAACTGTTGTTTGGGCTGGAGCCTCAACGTTAGGCCAGCCCATCGTGGCTGGCCGAGAACGGCGTGTAGCCTGTAACGACCGCCTTCGTCATCCTTCCATTTGTGGGAACGCCTTATCGATTAGCGACTGCTAGTTGCTCTGTGGGACGCCAGATCAGTTTTGCAGGACGAAAATAAACGACCGGACTTTGCCCGGTCGACCAAACCGTACTCTCGACTGACTTAACTTCACTTGAAGGGCCGGTGGCTCATAGGCCTTGAACTTCTAGCATTGAGCCCGCCTTCGTCTGCGTAACGAGATCAGACGCTCGATGAAGACGGCCACAACCCTCCAGAGAGGAGCCAGGTTGCATAAGCAGTTTTGCCGCAACGATGGATTATTGGCAAGGGAGGCCGGGATGGCCATTTCTGGCTTACCAACCGTCGTCAGTCAGACCTGTGAAGACCCAGATTTGCGAGGCCTGGGTTTTAGACCTGCGTTCCTTGGGTTAAGACGAATGTCCATCGAATTGCAAAGACTTCGTTTCAGCTTGTATTAGATATGCTATCAACATGTTTCGCTCTTTCGGTATGTCACTGCAGTGAACTATGGACACAACAGGGGCACCTCCCACAGACGAACGTCAGGATTTTGCAGGTCGCAAGTGACTGGCCGCTGCTGAGGCCAGCAGTATCTTTCGGTGCATCCACCTCATTCGCTTCTCCATCACATAGCGCGTTTTGGTGGCAAGCTAAAGTGTACAATAGGGGGCAGGTGTGCACACAGCGGCTGACACAGTTAAGCAGTGCGTCTACGCGCGCCACACACACGCACGATCTGTACTCAAACTCCAGGTTTATCAGACTCCGTCTAGGGGCTTATGGTTCGTATGTCACATGGACGAGATTGGCATAGAGACCTCCCTAGGTAGTATGATCCTCAATCCTGAGTAAGGTCGAGTTATCCCGTCAGTAGGCAGACCTAAAAGCCACAGACGACCGGTGCATCAGGTGCATTATACTGAGTTACGAGTTGAATTCCCGTGCTGAAGCACAACTCAGGAATGGTCTCATTCTCCCCTTCCACCATACGTCAGTGGCCTGCTCCCGCCTGTCGGTGAACTCTCGATAAGGTTGCCTGCAGCGACTGGTGCGATAGAGACCTCGCGTGTCAAGCACTTATGAAGTTTTGCCCCTCGTTACTGACCAGGGCTAACTGACCGACGCATTGCTCTACAAGTGTGTGCACGTAACCGGAAATGCCTGAAAGGTGAGTGAATGTGCGATAGCACTGTGAGCTTGATTGATAAATGAAATATTAGCGATTGTTTCCGAATGGGTCACTGCAATGGCTGAAAGCACAGGTACGGTTTTTACGGGGAAGGCGTGCGTGGCAGGTGTTAACCGGTGTTCGGGAAACTGGCATTCTTGCCGCATTACAATGGGGCTACAGATGTTCGATCAGGCCTGTGTGACCCGAAAGTGCGATCGCGATGTGGATATGTTAGCACTCCGTCTTCATTACAGGTGGTGGTGG